CCGTCGCGCTAGGAACGGGTTTGTTTTTGGGACGAGTCCCGTGTGACCTAGGCTACCGGCCGCCGGCTGAGGCTGCTGACCAGTTGATTTAGAAAGAAGAAGAACACAACAATCTGGAGTATTCTAAACAGCTTGGCTGGACGTCACCAACCTGGCCAGCTCGGCCGAACGACCATAGAACTGCTGAACTGCTACACGCCCGCCCCGCCCTGCATCGCGGCGTTTCTGTTTTCGAATAAAAACCATGATCGCCGTCGTCGAACGAGCGCTGAGCGCGGGGGAGAGCGGCGGCGGCGAAGTCCACAACACTGCTGGGCCGCTATGCTACTTTGCGCGCCATACCGGGCCGGGGAAGTTTTCCGGGATCGGCACGGAACTTGGCCGTCGTCAGCCGAGGGGAACCCGGAAAATAAAAGAAAGATTAAAATGAAGGAATGTCGCCTCGTCCTGGTATGGGCGTAACCTTTTAAAACTTCTCCCCGCCTCCGAAGGGGAAGCTCCTGCGTCGTACAGCAGCATGTGCGGGAGCCATCTCCATCCGGGAGGAGGCTGTCCCATATACTTCTTCGGTATTTATATAGAACGAAAAACAGAACGAGTTTCGCTGTGGGTTTTGTTATTTGCTTCTTTGCGTCGTATGCAATGTTTATTTTTATTTCCCATTGAGTTCCGGTGTAAAACTTTACATTTTGTAGGTGTTTTTTTCCCGTGGAGTCTGCGTCATACCGGCATGAGGCGCTGTTGGCATGTGGGCCTAACCATCGAATCCTTCCGGGTCATCGCCTCCCTTCCCCACTCTTTTCCTTTTGTTGTTCTTGTTATTCCCAACGCCGATATATCCCACGCTTCTTCCAGGCGCAAAGCAAAGCCTTCTCTCATCCTTCCAGTTGTTTCTTCTTCTTCTTCTTCTTCGCGAAAGGTTCAGGAATCAGGGATGCTCCGTCCGCAGAGGGACCTTTATCCGTTCCAGGGAGACTACTCCTACGACGACTGTCCTTAGCCGCTTTGTCTGTTTCCGGGGTGACATTACTATTCGCTCCCGACTTGGATGCCGAGCGGAGCCCCGAGCCCCGAGCAGAGCGCCGGCCAGCAGGCGCAGGCCATCCTCGCGCTGGAAAAGGCGCGCTTCGATCAGCAGGCGAGTGGGGCGGGGCGGGGCGGGGCGTGGCGGATCAAAGGAGGACAAGCGTTGGGCAATGTCAGGCAGCAGGGCGTTGTACAGGACGAGCCATCCATCGGCCTCCCCTCTCCGCTCCAGGACGCTCCGCTGCTCCGCGCGGCACACTCATCCCGCAACCGCCGGCCTCTCCTACTTAAGCCGCATGATGCTCTTGCAGCATCCACCCAAAACTACATTTGGCTACTACTATCGCGGGGGTATTGCGCGCACCGCAAATTTAACTCCGCACACGTTTCGAAATGCGGGGTAGTAGTTGTAATTTTTGCGCACGCGAAACGTTGCAGTCGTTGTGATGGCGGTCATTATCACGCGCGTCGACTTGTCACACCTTCCAGGCGCTCGTTAAGTCGTGGAAAAAAATGACGGCGCTGACGTGCGGCACCCCTGTTGGGGACAGGGTATCGTGTTCGCCGTGCCCGCCTATCGAGCAGAACGGGCGGACTGGCCGCTTGCCCGCGCCCGGCCAGGCTAGTCGCCCAAACCCCAAACGAACGGGCGCCCTGCAGCGGCGGCCGGGCGACGACGCCGAGGGCGATGCTGCACTCTGGCCCGGCTCCAGCCTGGACACAACTCTCTCACACGCACACACACACACATGGCTCATGGCTGGCCGCCCTGCCGAGAGTTAGTTGTGGTCGCCACGCGGGCCCCGCAGCGGGGCGGGCGAGGGGCCCACGGCTCACATCGGGGACGCGCTGCGTGGCAGCATGGGGTCCTCCCGGGTCCTCCTCGGGCATGGGGCACCTCGCGAGGGGTAGGAAAGTATAGGAACCTGCTGCGGGAGCCGCCCCACAGGGGGCAAGACGGGCGCGCTGCGGCATCGCCCCGCAGCTATGGCGGGTCCATTTGTCAAGGCGGCCGGCCGAGGGCCTCGAGGGCCTCATTGAGGGCGTAAATGCTGGGCGTTGCGGTGATTAGCCCGAAGCCTCTCCGAGAAACAATCAGGCGCCCGGTCCCTCCCCGCCGGCCCGCCCCTCACGGGCCTCACGCAGACGTTGTTTGTTTTTGTGATGAATGAAGGTGACCAGGGCAAACAGGTGGAGAGAGGGCCCCGAGCGGCGGGCGGGCGGGAGGTCAGGGGCCCTGCAGCAGTGGCGGCGGGCCGTGGGGCCCTCACGACCTTTTGCCTCGGCCTTTGGACTCGGGGCCGCGGCGGTTGTGGTGCGCAGCAGGGCCTCGGCCTCCGGCCCAGGAGAAGGCCCGAGGAGGCCAGTCTGACACCTGACGCTCCCGCTGCTACAAGTTCCACCGACGCGCCGCAGGGGGGCCCCAGCCGCTGACGTGACCGGGGACAGACACGTCAATGACGCCGATCCGATGCCTGAATGTAATTGGTGGGCCGGCAGCTCGGTGGACCCTGGACTGATAACACGGCCCTCCAGCGCGCTCCGCGGTCTCTCTCTCTCTCTCTCTCCCTCTCCCTGTCTCTGTCTCTCCTCCCTCCCCACTTTCACCTTCTCCACACTTTCCCCGGTCCCCGGCTAATGTACGCCAGTCCTGTGCCTGTACGCCCGGGCCGCGTGTCCCGTGCGCCCCCCACCCTCCTCCCCTCTCCACCTCCTCCTCCTCTTCCCCCCCCCCCCCCCTTCCCCCCTGCCCGCCGTGACCCAGGTCTTACGGAGTATGGTGCGGTGGCAGCCACCGTGTATTAGCGGACATACCGTCACGATGGTCGTCATCCTTGGTCATCTTCCCGGTTTACGTCAAACCAAAGAAGGGACGACGACGCCCACGCTTTTGTCGTCCAACACTGCTAAGCTCCACCACGGCATTGCGGGCGCACATGCCGCTGGAGGATTTAAC